GGTCACCAGTGGGTTGGTCAGATGTAGTCTGGTCACCAGTGGGTTGGTCAGATTTAGTCTGGTCACCAGTGGGTTGGTCAGATGTAGTCTGGTCACCAGTGGGTTAGTCACATGTAGTGTGATCATCAGTGGGTTAATCAGATGTATTCTGGTCACCAGTGGGTTGGTCAGATGTAGTCTGGTCACCAGTGGGTTGGTCAGATAAAGTCTTGTCACCAGTGGGTTGGTCAGAATAGTCTGGTCACAAGTGGGTTAGTCAGATGTAGTCTGGTCACCAGTGGGTTAGTCAGATGTAGTCTGGTCACCAGTGGGTTGGTCAGATGTAGTCTGGTCACCAGTGGGTTAGTCAGATGTAGTGTGGTCACCAGTGGGTTAGTCAGATGTAGTCTGGTCACCAGTGGGTTGGTCAGATGTAGTCTGGTCACCAGTGGGCTGTTCAGATGTAGTCTGGTTATCAGTGAGTTGGTCAGATGTAGTCTGGTCATCAGTGAGTTGGTGAGATAAAGTCTGGCCACAAATGAGTTGGTCAGATGTAGTCTGGTCATTTTGGCAATGTCAATGGAATTACCATGCTACAATCTCTTGTTTGTGTCTCACCATGGGTATGTACAGTGCTGGGGGTGTATGTTATTGAAGTGACAATATCTGTGATTTTTATTATTCAAATATAACCACTAACATAGAGATGACCAGATCTCACTGAAATCTTGTTTAGACACAATTGCAAAATAAAAAATCAGAGAAAGGAGATTGATAGTTACAGCTATTGTCGCTTCAAAGTATTTGGGTCAAGATTCTGCATGGTATGCAGATATTAATATTGTTTCAATTTGGAAACACTTCAAGGGAAGACTCAAAATATCATGTTGTAGTTATTTACACTGACTCAAAACAAATGTATGTTTACTGTACATGAGTTAGATGTTGTTAGATACATGTCAAACTTTCCAAGTTTTTAGATTGTCATCACCCTGACACCCTGCAGTGGACATGCAGTGCCAGCGGAATATCATGCATACCTCTCATTTGTCACCACTCTGAACATGGACATTGGTGTTGTTTGAATAATTTGTAGTGTAAGTAATTCTAATCTGATTCTTTACAAAACTGTTATGTAAATTAATGAATACTCTTTTATTGATGGCCCTCCATTTGAGAAGCTGTTTCAGAGAAATTTAAACTTATTTTGTATCCAAAGTATAGATTAACTGCATAATTCATGCAGAGTTCTTTATCAGTGCATACTATTTAATAACATAACTGTGCTGTCCCCTAAACTTGTCAGTGTGAACATAGCAATACCTCATCACTAGATAATTAATTTATTGGGTTTCTTTTTAAATGTAATTTTAAATAAATTTTGAAATATTTGCAGCATCCTGCTTTTGTGTTTTATTTCTCTGAAGACTAGAAAAGAGGTGCACAATGTATGATTGTAAAACACATCAAGCTTGTTGACATAGGTCACAGCAAGTACCCAAACTAACATGATTTCATTGTACTTGTCCGTATTCATTTTGGAAAAGTACAAATCTGTATGTCTGCAACTTAACATAAAACTGTCAGCCCTCTGTTTTTGCTGTCCTCTGTGCAGATAAAAATTGCTTGTCTGGTGAGTGGCAGATTAGCACAGGATGACTGCAACTTAACATAAAACTGTCAGCCCTCTGATTTTGCTGTCCTCGGTGCAGATAAAAATTGCTTGTCTGGTGAGTGGCAGATTAGCACAGGATGACTGCAACTTAACATAGAACTGTCAGCCCTCTGTTTTTGCTGTCCTCGGTGCAGATAAAAATTGCTTGTCTGGTGAGTGGCAGATTAGCACAGGATAACTGCAACTTAACATAGAACTGTCAGCCCTCTGTTTTTGCTGTCCTCTGTGCAGATAAAAATTGCTTGTCTGGTGAGTGGCAGATTAGCACAGGATGACTGCAACTTAACATAGAACTGTCAGCCCTCTGTTTTTGCTGTCCTCTGTGCAGATAAAAATTGCTTGTCTGGTGAGTGGCAGATTAGCACAGGATGACTGGAACTTAACATAGAACTGTCAGCCCTCTGTTTTTGCTGTCCTCTGTGCAGATAAAAATTGCTTGTCTGGTGAGTGGCAGATTAGCACAGGATGACTGCAACTTAACATAGAACTGTCAGCCCTCTGTTTTTGCTGTCCTCTGTGCAGATAAAAATTGCTTGTCTGGTGAGTGGCAGATTAGCACAGGATGACTGGAACTTAGGCAACTCTATTTACATACTCTCATGATGTTTTATTTTATTGAAAAAACACCCAAAAATGAACAAGTCATTGTCAATGACACGTCCCGTTCATATTTGAGTGACATGTACATTCAAAGCAGATCATGACCAAAATGCACCTGCATATGTACAACACATTGTACTAAATCTGAACAAAATCTATCCATGCATGACTGAGATCCGGTTCCGGAATTGTGAAAATACATGATTTTGATGCATTTTTGACCTTAAAATTGCCATCATTCAGCTATTGTTAAGCAGATCATGAAACAAATGCACATACATATTTGTGACATGATGTACCATGTGTGTGTGAAGTTTGAACTTGATCAATCCAGACATGTCTTGGATACGGATCCAGAACTGATTTCTTTAAAACGAAATGGCCGACTTTGCTTCACGGAATACCAGATATTACATACCAAGGAGCATACTAAAAAGTCTGCATATTTAATAATAACTTTATTCTTCAACGATACCATGATATCACACAAACAAATACATTACAAACTACATGGCATCATTTGCATTTCACTCAAATTCAAACAAGAAGCTACATAAAAGTTTGAATAAGCCTGTTCTATGGACATGTGTCGACTGACTCGCACTGCACTGAAAACTAATTAAAAATAAAACACGGCTTATCAAATATTCATTCACACAAAAATAGAAATGACTGTTCTTGGTTATTTTAAATATTATAAAATATGACATGATTTTCAATTTAATGCTCTAAAATACAAGAAATGTACAAGATATAAATATACTTTGAAATTTGTTTGAGTTATAGCACCATCCATCAGTTTTTGTGCATGAATGGGGGGTTTATTTACTGGGTTCCTGGATTTCAGATGAGCTATCGTACACAGCGAAATCAACCCCCATACGCAGACAAAATTGGAAAGTTTTTACACCACTGTGCTCAAGTTTCTAAGGTAACAAAAGAACTTGTCTATTGGACCTATAATGGAACTATATATATGATCATATTTTCAAAAGTATAACCTGCAAACTTTTCAAAACTGAGGTATTGTGTAAAGAGAGCCTGTACTGGCTCAATTGAAGAATAGAAATTGTATATACATTTATCATTATATAAAACGATCCTCATAAAATGTACAATTATTAATTGATAACAAGTTTAGAATTAATGTTTTGCTTTATTATTATATATTATTAAGTATATTTTATATATTAAGTATCGGTATTTATTCACTCTATTGCACCATTGACTTTCTTTCAAGCGCCAACCAACAAAATAGAACGCACTGATTTAGCGGCACCTCTGTTTATGACAATTGACTTTGATCAAGTGTTGAACTGACCGGAGTGATACGCACCAGTCAGCTGCATTATCCGCACGGAGAGACCTGTGAATATAGCTACACTCAATACAAACATAAAATTCCCAACCAAATGTTATATTGAATTTGAATATCAATACTGAGTATAGACAAGAATTTATTAAATTCTTGATACAGTGTACTGGTATATCTGAACATGGTATGGGTAAAACTAGACATGAAACGAAGTATTTGAAGTTGATCTGTTGATGCAGTGGTACCAATCAACTGTGTTGTGGAGAGAACTGTTATATCTGCTCAATGAGTATCTGATGTGAAATGGCATTCACTATGTCTTGACCATCCCATACCTTAAGTTGTTTTCTGCGTAAAGAAATATTTTCGACATTAAGTGAGCGAAGATCACCAAGTGGCTGTTCACATTGGTATTCGCGTCTTGTTAGTCTGCATAATTTAATTACTAATTGAAGTTTGGATCCTCAATAGTGGTATACAAGTAACTACAATGTAACAAGTGAACCAACTTTGCAATGTCTTCTGTATTTCATCTTTTTTTCACCTATTTAATCATAGCTTACAACCATATTTTGATTAAAATTGAAATCAAACATTATTTTACATAATGTGTTTTTTTTCAGAGTAGCCGCCTTGAATTTATAGTTTAGCGAGTTGTATTTTTTGTGTGTAACACTACAAAGGAAAGTCAATGGCTAGCTTTCATCAGTGGTAAGTTTGCTGCACACGCTTGACAGACAGTTTACTACATTAAAACATGTATATCTGTAATTTAATTGTTCTATGCCTAATAAATTTGTTTTTTTTAAAACAAAGATGAATTTCCAGTCTGAGTCAACTTCTGGTCCAATTGTATGAAAGTTTACTATTGGTACGGAAGAGGAGATCACTGCATTGAAACAAAAAACACACAAATGTTTAAGTTATGTGATCTGAATGAAAAAATCGCCACATTGTTATTTTCATCTGACAGTAGCAGTAATAACGATTACTACCTTAACACTTGATTACTTGACATACCGGTAGTTATCAATGATGATTACAGTAAATGTGATAATAATATACATTATGATTATTTCCCAGATACAATGTAAGACTGTGTGATGTTTACAAAAGTACAAATGTTTTTGCATTTTCACTTTAAAACTATCACCATATATTAGGCACAAGTCAGGGCATGTTTGGTCTAAGGTTCAGTATACATATGCATTTTTGGTTCAAAACAGTATATGCCCCTCAACGGATCTGCGAGACACCAATGGGTCTATGAGTTGCTTCATAATGGGTGTGAATAATAAAGGGTGGTGCTTTCTTGTAAATTTATTTCATGGTTGGATTCTTTCCAATCTGATTCACCTGCATTTCTATGATTCGGTTTTAGTTTGCACTGAATTTGCATGGAACTGCTTTTATTGTATTACAGTGAAAAAACTACAGTCGGGTGACTGGAATGGACAGAGCTGATAATGTCTCAGATTTACAGCTTGTATCTAATTGGACGGTTATTAAGTAATCCTCAATTAGACGCTTTACATCACAACGACCAATCTTATTCATAATCATTGCCAGGTTAGACAAGTCTTCACCACGTGTTTCAAATTCCAGGAGTACGTAGTATGTGGGGCTTTCCTTCCTTTCAAAGCTGTGAATGAACCTGTCAAGGCCAAGGTATGATGCTAATGCCTTCCAGTTCTTTCCCAATGGGCAATCTCCGTCTAACATAGCTTGAAGTTCAATCCGCAGCCAGTGTGGTATATGATAGCTTTCACTACGTTTGTATGATGGTTCTGTGCTGGCTCTATTGGATTCCACGACAGCTGGTTTCTCATCTTTGGCTTCTGCTACTATCTTTAGTGTAGTTTGCTCTGCTTTTTTATAACTCTGATAAGCAGCAAATGTGATATTGATTTCTTTTACTTGGTTGTTGGATGGCTTGAATACAAACTGTACATGTGGACACTCACCGTGCCAGACAGACAAGAACGGTCTAACTTCCAAGTTGTTGTCTTCATTTACCCAATCTTTACTGACTCTCATCAACTCTAAACACATAGCTCCACCGTTGCCCAAGAACAAGAATGGCTGTGCTGGTGTCAGTAAGTAAGCATCAAATTTTGTTGCCTCATTCTGTTCTGCAAACTGTAAAGCGCAAGGAGTGTTATTAAGAAAGTAAATTCGAACCTCATAATATTTCCCCACCTGAATTGGACGGGCAAATGCCGCTAACTGCAGCCACTTTTTGGCAACTGAATTTGTGTTGACTTGTTGTGTAAGGCATGTGAACAAAGTAAAGTGTGTTGTATATATCTGACATTCTTCCGACAGAAGTCTGATATTTTCACTAGAATTGTTCTGTTCATGGTGTATTTCCCAACTCTTTTCGGGGAAAAAATATGTCTGACTTGCCCAGATTGTCACCTCGCTTGTATCAGATGCACAGTGTTTGTAACACAAACGACAACGCTTGTTAAACTTTAGCCCATGTGGTCCACAGTAAACAACAGGACTAATAATGGACTGCTCAGAGCTCATTTGTGGGAAGTCTCCCAAGTCCCAGTCCAAGATTAGAAATATGGTTTCTTTGTGTCCTTCTGCAATTGCATATGGTGGGATGTATAACGATATTCCCATTTTGTCTAACACTAAACAATCACCAGTGTGGTCCACAGTGCGTGATATACACACCATTAATTTTCCGCAAATTGTATGGGTTTTGCTATGCTCCATGTGTGTTTCAAGTTCTTCTAAAAGCACTGCATCTGGTAGTGATGCCAGAGATGTAGCTGCTGATCCATTCGCTGGTGATCCAGAAGGCTGAGTCAGTGATGATTCAGGTAGCTGAGTTGTTGGTGATCCAGATGGATGAGTCGGTGATGATCCAAATGGCTGGGTTGTTGATGATCCAGATGGCCAATTCGGTGTTGATCCAGATGGCTGGGTTGGTGTTGATCCAGATGGCTGGGCCGGTGATGATTCAGATGGCTGAGCCGTAGGTGATTCAGGTGGCTTGGTCAGTGGCGATCCAAATGGCTCCTTATGTACCATCACAGTATGCGTTTCTCCCATCTGTGCATAGGATACTGGAAATCCTGTGCCATTCATCATTACAGGTACATCATTACAAGTTTGTACAGACTGACTACACACAGATGTTTCATCACACAGATCGTCTTGACTGCCATACATATATTGTATCACATCCCTCTCTTCACCATGGCAAAATTTTTTCCTACAGCAAATGTAGAGAATGATTCCAACTACCAAGACGACTGTTATGGATACAACTACAATGATCACATGATTAGGGGACGACATGGTTGGTTCATGGAAGGTGTCATTCAACTGATTCAACACATATCACTGTACGTTTCTGGGATTGTCATAATGTCCATGTTGAATTCTTGGTGTTTAGTGATGAATAAATCCTCAGCATTTCATTATTCAGTTCCCATTACATGTCAGTCTGTATGGAGGATCAAGAAGAAAATATTTTATCACTTTTCATACATATTTATTAACATTATATATTATTAAAATCTACTGTATTGTAAACATGTATCATAATTCTATTGTTATACTATATATAACTATTTTTGAACTGTTTACACCAAACATTTGTATGTTGTATTATTTCAGAAAAACTATGAACTAACAATGAATAAATAATAAATTAAAGTAAATTATTATAAATCTCACATTACCATTTCTGTGAATACTTATCTGCATTTCTTCCAAAACGTACCTGCACTCAATCAAATTTTCCCTTATTTGGGGTTTACCTACATTACTTGACATTTTCAATCAACTGATGTCACATTGAAACACTAATTGCTTTGTTCAAATTTGACACAGAACCATTATGGTAATAGAATTTTATCACTGAAGGCAACTTGCACACAGCACAAAATTATTAATTATTACTACAAGCAGAAAAAAATTAAGGTTATCCTGAGAAGACAATAAAGTACAAATCAACCTGTGCTGTGTATTGGCTGTCATCATGTTTACTTTGATAACATGATAACCACATAAAATATGTAAAAATAAATAATTAAATCAGGAATAATAAGTCTGAACTATTTATCCATCCGTTCATGCAGTATCATCTGGAACTATTTCATGGGCAACCTTTGACTAATTATGTTTAAACTTAATGCACATCCATGTATGATGACTTACATATCCTCATCAATTTTTGTTATCATTTGATCAATTATTGCCGACTGGCGGACATTTTGGTTCTAAATTTGCTAAATTCTGATGCTTAAATGTGTCCAGAACCGTTTCCTAGAGATGAACAAGGTGATATCATTCAAACGTTTTATAAGCATCATGCATATCGGGTTACAGTTGCACATATTTTTCAAGATTCAAGAAGAATGGCTGATAAGCAGCCATTTTGACTTTGTTCATTTCTATGCTGCTTCCTAACTATTATGTCACCTGATTCATTTGAAAGTTTGTACACAAGTACTCATAGGTGATATCAAACAATATGTTATTTTGTGAATTTGTCAAATTGACAAAATTTTGTCTAAAATTCTAAAATCACAGTCTGTCAACATGTCCGGAAGAGTTTCTTGAACATGAACTGGGAACTGGGTAATTTCCTTCAAACTTAAGAGCTTAAGATTCTATTGAGAGTTTTCACACAAGTAAAATAAAAAATATTGCACGTTTCTCAGAGATGAACAGGACTATTCAATTCCAACAGGTACTTTTGTATTATATTTTTTTCAAGATTCAAACAAAAATGGCCAACTGGAAGCCATTTTCTTTTCATCATGAAAGTTTGCATGTAAGTACTATACTATATATACAACCATACAAACTGTAGGTTGTGTTATTTTTTGTGACCTAATCAAATCTATTAAATTTGTCTAAAATCAGAGTTTGTAAATATGTCTGGAAATATTTCTTGCAGATAAACAGGAATTTTTATCAGGATCATACATACTGGGTTAGAGGTGCAAATCATTTTAACAACTAGTTTTCTAAGATGGCTTATATGATATTCAAATTCAGTACAATGATTCGACATTCTGGATTTTGTTTGCACATTACCAAATTTGATCTCATCACAGCGCTACACTCCCGGATTGCTGCGAGGGATGAACTTCGGCATTAAATACAGTGCATTGCCAATTCTTATTCTTCATGAAAACCACCTGATCGATCTGATATCCGATATCAAGTAGGTAGATATATATATATATCTTGTTTGTTTTTCTGGTAGAAATGCAAGACCATTTCTATAAACTACTAGACCGATTGTATTAACATTGGATGCAATATAAATGCATGTATATATCTGGTTATTAAAAGGGAGGTGTCACCACCATGCGAGTCATATAATTACATAGATTGAGAAGATATGTAGGCATGCCATAAATGTACAACCCAAGACATTGATCCAAATATTCATGAGATTAGTTAAAATTATATCACAAATTAAGATCTCTAATTATTAGAAAAAAACAAAAAACAAACAAGCATAGTGTTTGTATTTGATATTGACAAATGTTCAAGCTAGTAGAAACTTTCGCAGACTTTGAGGTAAAAAACATGAAATGCATAACAGTTACTTTCTAAATAAGTGTGCTACCATGGTGACGCATGGTATACAAAGGTCAACAAATGAAAATATGCATATCAAGGTTATAGGTGTCAAAGGCCATCTATGTAGGCCTAAAATTTAAATAACCATGTTAGCAATATGCATGTATGTAAATGTGTCAAAATGGG